CATGTCTGCCCATCAATTTATGGGCAACATAATATTTCAATCAACCACCAACTACTTAAATTAATTAGGCAAAATAGCATATTATTGAATTTGCTGAAAACCCCCTCTGGTTCTAAAACTCCAAAAAACTTACTTGTGGTTTGTACAACGTGGCAGAAAAACACCCATCCATTAGGACTTAACGGAGAGTGTCTCTCACGCACTTCAAATACGATTTTGGGTCCATAAAGTGATAAATCACTCTATAAAGTTACTAAAATGACCCTATAATTTTATTATATGCATTTTTCTCTCATTCTCCTTCCTCTTCCTCTTCCCCTTCCCCTTCCCATTCTCATTCCCCCTTTTCTCTTCTCTTCTTCCCCTTCTTTTATTTCTCCGTTCCAGCTCACCCCAATTCACATAATAGAATAAATTTGAGCAAAAATTTTAATTAAATTTAAAGCACATCATGAGACTCGAATTGTTGCAACCTAAATTCAACTTGAAAATCAGAAACTTCATACGTAATAAAAACCTTATTCAAAATCGGGCAATGATATTATGTATGAAACAGACATATTTTTCTCAAAATTTCTCAAATTGGATATGTTTTTTCTCAAGATTTGGGGTAAACTTCAAACTCCCCAAATTCAAATTGGTAAGGGTTTTAATCGAATTCAAATGATTACAAAAACAATTAGATTCTACGATTTAGCCACTCGATCTATGAATCTAACAAACAAAATCGATAATCAATTTCCTAAATTGAAATGAAACTTTAAAAAATAGAGGTGAAAAAAATGGAGAAAAAGAAAGAGAAAAGAAGAAGAAAATGAGGCGGACAACGGAAGAAGAAAAAAAATGAAAAATTAAGAATATGTATGTATCTTTGTATGTTTATGTGTAAAAAAAGGAAGAAATGTAGGTTAAAAGAAAAAAAAAAATAGAGAAGAAGAAAAAAGAAAAAAAAAAAAAAAAGAATATATATGTATGTGTCTATTTTTATGTGTAAAAAAGGAAGATACAGAGGTGGAAAAAAAATGGAAAAGAAGAAGAAAGAAGAAAGAAAAAGAAACTAGATGAGCAACAGTGTGTATGTGTGTTTGTTACGTATGTATATCTATGTAAATGTGTGTGTATGTATATATGATAAAAAATAAAATAAAACTTGATCAAACTTAGAATAAATAGTCAAAAATAAAAAGCTTTCAGGGGTATAACGGTCAAACAATTAAAAATTTAACACTGTTAATCCAATTTTGAAATGAGGGGCGTCACAAGTAGGTTTTATGGAATTTTAAGATCATTGGGGATTTTCAGCAAATTTTAAAAACCACGGGGAAATTTTTTGCTATTTTGCCAATTAATAATTATTTTGCATTCAATCTAGCTTCCAACCATCAATAATATATACTCCCTCCGTTCCAATACAATAGTTTTGTTTACTATTTTTGTCCGTCCCAAAATAATAATTTTATTTCCATAAATAAACATATCACTATATAACTACTCTTACTCTTTCACTATTATTACACAATTAGCACTACATTTTACACTAATACACTCACATAGGCAAAAATATCTTTTACATATACTTTTTACCCACTATAATATAAATATTCTTTAAATCTCGTATCCAATACAACCAAGACTATAGTTTCAGGACGGAGGGAGTATTAATTATTGTTGCATTTAATACAACTTCCAACTACTAACCACCAACTATATGAATTAATTATCATTGTATTCAATTCAACTTAAACTACTAACTATAAAATACATGAATTCATTATTATTGTATTTAATCTAACTATCAATCATCAACTATATGAATTAATTACTACTCCCTCCGTCCAATTTCTATTGTTCTAAAGTATATTTGCACGGATTTTTAGGTGATTGTCTTTTTGTTATGAATTGACAAATTTGCACTTAATTGAATGGTAGAGATTAAAAGTAATAAATGAATGAAGCGTAAAAATGTAAAATTTGTGTTTAAAAAAAGAAATAGGACAATAATTGTTGGATGTCCCAAATAGAAAAGTAAAACATTAGTTCGTGGACGGATGGAGTATTATTTTTAACCCAATTTTCAACTACTTCATTAATTGTCCAACATAAAAACTCATGTCAGTTTCTCCTATAAATAGTGGTATTTGTCATTTACAAACACTACCACTCCATTGCGTTTTTATTTTTTGTCTTATGGTGCGACTTCATTACATTTTTTTTATTCTTTTTCTTTTAATTCATTTTTTTTATTCTTCTTTTGCTTTTAATTCCACACCGCATAAATATAATAGTCATGTTTAAATGAGCTTTTGCATACAGTGATGAGGAAAATTATTGTGTAGCATTTTTTAGTAGTTTACTCAAGATGCAACTACGGGTAGAGGTCAATCAAAGGAAGCATTTTGGAAATGAATTGTTGTTGAATTCACCGAGCAAATCAAGAAAGATAGCGAGTCTGAGGTTGCCTACACTCGTACCTTGAAGTCGTTAGATGGTTGATATTCATTGATCTAAAACCATGTATTAAATATACGAAAGTTTTGAAGAAGAGTGTAGCATTTTAATTTGATACGGTAAGTAAATAAATATAATTATTTTTATGCAATTCTTTCCTATCAAGATATTTTATGACAAAAGACATGTTAAAAAAGCATTCATCGAAATCTAGAAAATTATTTAAATTTGAGCACTTTTCGAAATTAGGAGTAATCTAGGAAAATTTAGAAACCATAATGAAGTAAAAAATTTCCATAAAATTTCTTGACAAGTTTTCTCTGGTCACGTGTTATCATCGTAGTAGAATGCTATATTTGACTCTCTTTGGCTTTTAGAATTTAATATGAATTCATCCGATGAAAATGTTAATGGTGGATTGTTTCGTTTGAATAATAACCTTGATGACTCTTATTATGAAATGGTCCTCTACAATATTTTCATTGGATAACTTCATAATAAATGTCAGAAGCTCAAAAAATTCAAATATAGCATTCTCCTGCAACGATGACACATGTAACCAGAGAAATTTTATGTAAATTTCTTGTTATATTATGGTCTTTATTACTCATAATTTCAAAAATGTAATCAAATTGAAATCATTTTTCAGACCCCGATCAATGCTTCTTGAGCATGTCATTTGTCATCATTATCGACATGAAATAATAAATATCAAATAAAATATTTTGATATAAAAGCACTCCATAAAAATAATTACATGTATTTACTTACCGTATCAATTTCAGATGCTACACTTTTCTTCAAATCTTCTGTATGTTTAATACAACTAAGAAATAACTTACCATGGTTATGGATCAATGAACATTGGCCCTTTAACGATTTCAAGGTACGAGAGTAGGCAACCTCAGACTCGTTATCCTTTGTTTTGCCCATTGAATGTATCAACAATTCATTTTCAAAATGGTTCCTTCGATTGATCTTCACCCGTAATTGCATCTTGAGTAAACTAAAAACAAATATCACGCAATACTTACTTTTCTCGTCAGTATATGTAATAGCTCGTTTAAACATGACTTACATATTTATGCAGGGTGGAATTGAAAGCAATGAGAATAAGAAAATGTAATGAATTCAGCAATAAGAGGAAAAAAGAATGCAACGAAGTTGTAGTATCTGTATATGGCAATGACTACTATTTATAGAAGAAATTGACAAGAATTTTTATGTATGACAATTAATAAAGTAGTTGGTTGTAGTTTACAGAGGAAAGTTGTACTAAATGCAATAATAATTAATTCAAGTGGTTGATAGTTGAAAGTTGAATTAAATGCAATAATAATTAGTTCATGTAGTTGATGGTTAGTAGTTGAATTAAATACAACGATAATAGATTCATGTAGTTAGAGATTAATAATTGAAAGTTTGATTGAATGCGAACTATAATCAATTCATATAGTTGATAATTAATAGTTGAAATAATATTGAATGCAAAATAATATGCAAAATAATTCATTCAAAATAGTTGGTAGTTAATTGAAATATTTCATCGCCTATAAATTGATGGCTAAACAAGAAAAGAATCAAATAGAGTATGAATTTCTCTTACTTATTTATAAATTGTATCACTTTATGTTAAAAATGAATTTTAGTGTTAGTGGCATTTAGTTTGATATGTAGATATGATTTTTTCCGACGATGTTTTGCCGTGCCACGACCAATCCACATTGGTTCTATTTTAGGTGATCAAGTTATCAATTATCAATTGTGATAGTGAGGAAAAAAATATAATTATTTAATAGTTATTTTTCATCTAATTCATTGTGTAAGTCAACATTTCAAGACAATTTCAAATGTCTCAATTTGTTTATTCAGATTTTTGATACAATGAAAAATCATGATTGTGTTGCAATCATGCACCGACGAAATGGTTTGGGAAAACTTGAATTGTCTACTTTCCAAAAAGTAATAATAATATTCCAAGTGCTAGCCTATGCTATATTAGCGAATTCCACTCACAAGTATATAAAAATCAACAAATCAACCACTATTGAATGTGTTAAAGAATTTTACCGAGCAGTTGTTTAGATATTTTCATAATATTATCTCCGAGCTCCTAATAAAAAGGAGATTTTCAACAATTTCTCTTTCACAAAGATATTGAATAATTTTAATTGCATGCACAAAAAATGAAAATAAATATTTAACTGGTTGAGCCGAACAATATACAAAACATAGTGAAAAACCATCAATAATCCCGGTTGAAAAACCCGCATATCAAAAATGCTATCGACAGAATAAATAGATAGACGAAAATGAAAATATGGACACTGTAAGTAAAACGGAAAAACTACATTTTTATCTACATTTTGTATAAATATTGGTTCAATAATATAAAAATTTCCATTTATTTAATTTAAAAAATATTTATTAATCGTTATGATCAAATAATAAATTTAATTTATCTGCATATTATTTAGAATATTAATAATATTATTATAAAGGAATTATAAAAACAGTAAATTTATAGATAAAATATGAAGAAAATATTCTAAGCTTAAAATGTATAGAGTGATTGGAAACGAATTACTATAGCATATCCTGTAAAATAGAGAAATATATTGGTACTCCTGCAAACATAAAAAACTGGTTGGAGATGGACTAATAGCTAATACTAACATCTTTGTATTATTTACAAGTCGCCCCTTGATCTTATTGTAAATGTTAGAACCTTACTCGATTGTTCATAGTTTCTGGTTAAAACTAAACATATTCGCTTACCACCTGCACCAAAATTACTCACAGCAGTAATTCCAAGCTTTACCTGCAATAAGTGGATTAAAAAATATGATTCAATGAAGTTCTCAAAAGCTAATGTGATCAAATTTGATGTTTGCTCCATTTGGTCCTCCAGCCCCCGAATATACTCCAACCGGACATCAAAGATCACAGGGCTATTGGGCGCCACCTGGGATCTCCCGGGAGCTGATGTGAGGCCTTTAGGATATACCAACTGATTGAACAGAATTGAAATTTGAACAAACAACTACTAACTAAAGATCTGGCAAATTAGTTCAAAATGTGAAAGAAGTTGGTATTTGCATACTCACCGGTCCTGTAATGTTGAGCCGACAAAATGAAACCTGTGAGTGCTGGTATGGTATGGTATGGTTGAAGACAGAAGGAAGAGGTAGCAGGATCTCGCCTGACCAGCACCGACCCTGAAAATGTAAAGCTGCCCTTTCCCAGCAAACTACCAATTTCGAAAAAGATGGAAGGTAGAAAAATTACAACAACAATGTACATAGTAAATACCATATTCGACCAGAAGGAACCATGGCAACATAATTTGCAGACGCATTTCTAAGATTGGGCGAGGCTACATCTTTTAGAAAAAAAAAGACCCTATAATTATCGAATAGTATTAAGTTTAACAATTGATATTGGCTGTTGAAATAACTGGTGCTAAGAGATTAATGATATTTTACTGCTTCTCTTTATATTTACACAAATATCTAAACAGAAATGTCTCACAATCTTCGTCAAGAGAAAGTAAAATCACATTGGAACCTATAAAATTGGACCTTTGAGAAACAGCTTCAAGTTTCCAGACAAGTTAACTGCAGAAGCATGTAATAGATAGTGAAATATTAGACTCGAGTAGTGAAAAATCAGTTGACGAAGGCTCTAAGCGCTAGTTGTTATAGCATATATGCATGAAATCCAACGGGAGGGGTAGGTCCGCCTCCAATTTTGATGTCCTTGTACTGCAAACCTGAATCAGTAATCACCATAGGTACCTTGAAACATAGGCAACTATTACAGTCAGCTAACATACTGATTATTGGAATCCAATTCATCGGTTTTAGCCGTAATGTTAGTGTCTCTTCTAAATCCCAAGTAACAATAAACTATTAAGATGCTTCAAATGCTGTGATATTTCCATAGCCATGCTGAGTTTAATTAGTGCTCAGAATTTGTAGGATATTTGAACGAGGGGATGACCACTCGACGATGGTGCATTGAAGAAACTATGAATATAACTACCTAATGCAGTACAATATACGAGTGTAATATTGGGCAGCTGAAAATAATAAATCGAATAAAATTTCAGAGGATGAAAAAAACAAAGCAACTGTTTTCAGCAACCTTCACAATACATGAAATTATAGCAAGTAAATAAGTGATTTGAAACATTGTGCGTAGACAGACAGCATGGAAAAAAGGTGGTCCACCATCACTATAACCATAATCTTGACATAATAATATTCAGGGATTGCTCATGATAATATAACTGGCAATTGTTAAAATTCTTAGAAGTTTAGGGAGCTATGTAATCTCACTGTACATCTTCAAGCTCATTGTCACAGGCATCATCACATAACTTTGGCTTATCCTCTGGGGGGAATCTAGCTGCTTCAATGGGATTAGAGCTACCAAGGAGACTTACAAGTCCAAGTCCTTAGGCTACCAGCTTTCTCCGGATCATGCAATTACAAGCACCCTATCTCTCAATAGTCTTTAATTCTTGTAATCTAAGTTTTTTATGCGAGACTTTAATCCAACTCTAACATGAATTTTGCAGTTTCTTTGAGAATAAGAACCCATTTTGCCAAATGGACAACCTAAAACAAACAAACGAGACCTAATTCCTGAGTTAACATTGAATATAAAGATTTAAATTTCAACCAAAACGATGAAAACAGCAGAGAAAAGGTAGATTTCCTGTGGAAATGAAAATTAATAGAAAACTACTGTCACAATACAGAAGAAATCCAATAAAACTAGAGAAGAAACATAACCAAACACTTATGCGAGCATATCCATCTGTTATTCAATGCATTAAAGCAATCATACGTACAAAATTAAAAACTGTGTAGCTAGCTATGCACTGAGTGGAGTAGTAAAGAAGCTGAAGCCATGATCTTCCCTCCTTCCTTCCTTTGCTTTCAGTCCATATGTGTTTGGTTGTGTTTTGGTATTTTGAGATAACAAAAAAAAAATGGATAGAATTATAGAAATACATTTTTTATGTGATAGAAATAAGTGCTTAATTTGATGTTTTGAACAAAAAATATATTTTAGTGAAAAACATGCACTGATGTGATGTGTTTAAAGGAGAAAAAATGGGTTACCTTAGAGAAATAGTGATGATTGTATTGTGAAAATAGAACCAAGCACATGAATCTTGTTATAAAGAAAAACATCACAGAAACAAGAGCATATGCTTCAGTGCATCCGAGGACAAGAAAACAATACAAAACAAACATTTCACATTCTAGGCTTAATCAAGATATTATCTATTCATTCAAATCACCTGTTGTCATTGTGAAAAGGCAAGGTGTTTGCTTTGCTCCAAGAGAGAATCCGAAATATAATAACTGCCCATATTCCATCAAATGATGACCAAGGACTTTCGCTTCGGCTGCAACCAGACGTATAACTCGAATGAAAGGATGCAACATTAATAAGCAAGAATTTTGATATGTAGTTTCTGTGTTCAGATGAAGATCTAAGAAATTTTCACAATTTCATTACAAAAATCCATATTTTAGAAAACAGAAACTCTAACAGAAGCCGTCTGTAATAAAGATTACTTTGGTAATCTATCAAAGAATAAGAATAAGAAAATACTATACTAATGAAGCTTTAGCAAAAACACACAAATATTTCCATCTATGATCTAGCAAGATAAGCATCAAATTTAGTGTCCTAAGCTATTTTATGTAATGGATACGTCACAATAATTTGCCGAATATTTCTTCTAACTAAGAGCATCACATTCATTAACAATCAAAGAATATTCCACTGACCCTATACATTGTATTGAGAAACTAAACATGATGGAAACAAAACAATGAATCCAGCAAAGTGAAACACCAGCTTCAATGTATAATTACTTGGAATAATTCATCCTATCTAAGCAAATAGGAACGTAAGAAAATTGTTGATAAGAAAGGTGTGAAACACTCACAAATTTTCTTTCAACTTCTTCGAGAAACTTCTTGGGGTTATCAAAATACTCAGCACACTCCTCCTTAATCTGTTCAGAAAGAGCTTCCTCACCCGCCTTTTCTAGATTCCTTATTAAAATGGTCAAGGTTAACTTATCTGGGACATAAGCAGAGGCTTTCATCAGCTCGTACGTATCCATTGCTTTGCTCACCATGTCTGCTCTGAAATATGCTCCAATCAGTTCAGTATATGTCCGAGCATCAGGATCTAATCCTTCACTTTTCATTTCTATGAAGAGTTGTTCAACCTTCTCAATCATCTTCTTCTTGCCCAACATCATTATCATGTCGTTGAACAGAGAGAGATCCGGAACATACCATGGCTCTTTCCTCACAAAATTAAAGACCTGAAAGCTGATGAAATTCAGATGTAATGTGCAAAGTTCAAAAAACTTCACCGTTATGGCACTGTAGCGAACTCTTAAAATGATAACTTTTGTGGTTTTGCGCTTTCAAGACTACGACTAAAAGGGGTGCTTATGATAGCTTCATCATTCACTTCAAACAAACTATTTTCAAATTCACAATTCTATATTTAACCGATTAAAAATATTATTAGACATCACTCCACTCACTAGCCCTTCGGTTAGCTCACCCTCGCAGGATTGCAACCTTGCTTACAATAGTTTCTTAATTCAATTCAAATAGAATATATTTTCCCTGACACCCAACAACTTGTCTCTTTTACATCCTCGAAACAGTACTATATATAATGCCAAATGGAGTTTAAATCACCAAGATTGCTCCCAAACTAAAAAAAGGATTCTAAACATTTTGCTAAATGCGTCTATCCAAACAAGTATAATTATAACATTCGTATGAATCTCCAATCCATCCCTTTCTATTCTTTATTCAAATGTACTCAAGACTCTTATGTTCGAACCCAACTGAAAAGAACAATTCCAATGAGAGATTATCTAGTAGAAGGATTTCAGTCAACAACAGGTTCAAAATCCACCACAGTTCCTTAAACTATAGCAGAAAACTAAACCTAAACATCAGGAATCCTCTCTCGGAAGGCATTCACGAAAAATTCAATATCATGGATTCCAAAATTCATCCTTACAAAGCCCAAGGAGTCAAATAAATGATCAAAAGAACAAGAGACATTAACCGCTAAATCACAACCACCATAATAGTATCTGAAAGAAAGTCAACAAGTGGTCAAAAATCAAAACACTAAAATAGAATAAGAATAGCAAAGACAATACCTTGAGGGCTAAATCAAGCTCATTTTGGCGCCGAAGCTCGGCCAAGGTGTCCTCTAAATCTGCCTTCAAAAGCCTACTAAGCTTGGTGCAAAAGACTTGATCCAGTTTGGAAGAGGAATCCTTGGCTAGTTTCAAGGACTGAACTGCTTGAATAGCCTCAGTGGAAAGTACTCGGCTTCTCCACATAGGCTTTCTCGGCCCGTTTCTTAGACCACAGGTGATTTGAATTCTAGACAACGGGGTCGACATTGGAAACATTCTACGAAAACCCAATTTAGAAATCTCAAGGTGGAAGGTACCCGTGCCCGTGCTCGCCATCAGATCAAGCTTGGATGAAGAAAATCGACTCCTTAATAAATAAATTATGTTTCCTCATGAAACTTCATATCAAATCACTATTTAAGACAAAATCCAAACCTAAAACCCCAAAAGAAACAATTGCAAACAATAGTTTGAAAGAGTTTCACATAATATATGACTAAAATATTGTGCAGCACCAATTCTAGGAAACATACAAAGTTCATAAACTGCGTCTTTCTTCTCCTATTTAAAACTTTCAATAAAACGAACCTAAATCAAAGAGAATATAATCAAATTCACAGATACATCCAAGTATAATAACATAGTCTCTTTAAACGCACTAGATGAAAGCAGTTTCTCTGGTAAAATCCTTACAATAAAAGCGGGGCCAAATATCAAATCACCATAGCCAAAACTAATGTATCAAGTAAGAACGCAGGTAAGAAAGTAATCCTAGCCCAATCGGACAGAAAACTCAAACCGCAGATTAATCACAAAGAACAATAGATTTGGAGCAATAAAAATCTTCCTCGAATAATTAAACACGGACTGTGAAATAACAGGGAGAGATAAAAGAAGTACCATTTTTGCAGATGGTGCTCGGGAGAAAAAAGCTGCAGTTGAAGCTAACTGCGCTATTCCAAAACCCTAATTCCGAGGCGCCGTGGAGACTGCTTATATGCAGAGCACAAGATATAAAAACCCCTAAGCTGTGTTTCTTTTCGGTTCGAAATGGAATTTTTACGGTTCAGTGAGATGAAGACAAAGCCTTTGGCGTGTGGAAGACAGGGAAGATGCAAGCGTAGAAGGCTGAGACGGATGAGGAAGACGCTGATGACGAAGCAGAAGCTGAAGCTGAAGCTGAAGACGATGATGGTGTTAAGGCGAATACAGGACACAGCTGAGGCTGAAGCGGAAGCCAGAGCCAGTGGATTTACACTAACTTTTTTTATATAAAATAAAATATTTTATATTTTTCTTTGCATACATATTTTATTGAATTTTCGAATTATAAAATAAATATTTTAAACACATAATATTTTATTTTCAAATATTCTATTTTTATTTTATCACTGTATCATTATTTTTATATCAAAATATTTGTATGTTATAATACTAAAGGGGAGCAGAATAGTTATAATATTTTTAATTGACTACAAAATTTTAATTTGAGAATTATTTGAATAAATTAAAATATTTTACACTATCAGTTTTTAATATTTCATATATTAGAGATTTTTTAATATTTCATATAGTAGAGATTGATAGATTTATCACATACTGCAAAATTAATGTCTATATATAATATTAGCGGGTCTATTAATATTTTTATAAACAATTTTTAACATTATAATTTAGTTGAAAATTATGTCGGTCAAAAATAAACAAAGTCAAAGTCAAATTTCATCTTGTCACTTTCATTTTAATATAATTAAATTATAAAATAATTTCTCTGTTCGGGATAATTATGTCATATTTTTTATCCATTAACTTATGTATAATTTATTTATAATAAAAAATTTATTCATTCACAAATTTATTATCCTTATTTGAATAAATAATGATAAAATTTGTAACTATTTTTTTATTTACTCCACTATAATATCCTTAATTTATTTTTAAGTTACTCTATCTTTTCATTAAAATACTTTTTCCGGGTAATATAACACAAAAAGTCTGGATAAATTCTAACTGTTGGTTCGCCGTTTCAGACCGCCGGGAACCGTCATCAAATCGAAACCGAGACCTGTTTTCCCACAGTTCTGTTTCGATTTTTCTTTTCTTTGAATCGTAAATAGACGGTTCAATCGACGGTTTTTTTTATTTTTATAATGTTATTATTGTTACTTTAAAATAAATTCTAATAAAAATATTTATATTTTTAATAAAAATATATTTATTTTCTTTGAAAACATTTTCAAAAAACAACAAAAACAAATATTCTGATAAAAAATTCATAATTTTCAATAACTAATAATAAAAATTCTACATATACTATACACCAAAGTAATGCGACTAACTATTTTAAAAATAAAATATAAAATAGTTTTAATTGTACTAATATCAAACAATTATTTTACTAAATATTCGAACAGAAGTAACTAATATGTTCGGCTAGTCATACCGGCTAATAAAATCAATTATCAACTAACAACTAATTGTCAAACACCCTCGAATATATATTTTTTTATCTTTTTAATTAAATTTGATATAAAATTATTAATATAAATTTGAAATAATGAGCTTTTTGGGTTTATTTATAACATAATTTTTCATAAATATTATTTTAAAAAAATACAATATATACACATATCAACACACTATATATAATATATACACTTTATAAAACTCACAGCAGTCAATAATACAGTATAAAATATTAGTAATTTTTATATTTTGATATAATTTTTCATATATCACGCTGTGATGTTTTGTGCATAATACATTTCAACCCGACCCAACTCTTCGAAACCCGGAATCTGTACCCGCGATTCGACCTAATATGGTTTGGATCTGGACCGCCCCGAACCGGTTCTGGAGTCATCATATAAATGTATGTTTCCCCGGTTCGATTGCAAGCGTGATTCATTCTCTCATTCTCACATTACTCTCTGAAACCCTACTGTTCCCGACGCGTCGCGATCGATCTGTGCTTGGTCTTTCCGGCAAGATTGGGCATCGAAGCTTGAGATTCGTCCCCTGCGGTTGTGACTCAGCCTATTCTAAGGTTGTTCTTCGGTTTGATTTCCCGATTCTGCCTTTATGTACTGTTTGTGGTGTTATTTGGTTGTCCGCGATGATTTAGGCTTAGAATCTTGAGATTTTTTTCGATTGGGGTTATAGTCGCATTGATTGTGTGTTTCTGTGGATGTCGATAGGGTTTGGGTCGTGATTGTGTGTATATGTTGCTACACAGTTGAATGTTGGGTAACCTGAGTCCGAACTCCTTCGATTTCGAAGTATATAAAAGATTCGATGTTTTTTGTTTCTTATGTGTTCGATTAATTGTAAACTAGAAGTGTTAGGTCCTTTATTACATCTACAAGTGGTATCAGAGCTATTACAGCTTGTTAGTTTACTGGAATTGTGATTTTCAAGTTCCTGGAGTGAACACCTAGTCCTCTCTGTAAAATCCGAAGGTTTTTTTTGTAAATAATCTCAAGTTTTTTACGAAATCTTGGTTGTTTACTTTTCTGTCAAAGTGAAAACTGATTTTTGAAGTGTTTTTCACTTCCGTAAAGTTTAGATATCCTTGATTAAGACTAAGATAGGCCCTATAGGAGATTAGGACTTGAAATTATCTTTATTTGGTTGATTTGTGTAGTTCCTTGTTGTTGATTCATCCAAACTTTAGTAATCTGTGTAGTAAGTGCGCAGTTGGAAGGATTTTACAGGTTGGAGGCTTTGTATTTCAGAAATAAAGTCAAAGAATAGTTGCGGAGCTTGGAGTGGGTAACATTCCTAACCCTGTTGCGTGTTTTTGTGAGATTTCAGTTTTGTGGTGACTAAGTGTGGCTATTTTAGTCTACTAAGTGGCTGTTTTTGTGATAAATGTGGCTGTTGTTTGTTGTTCTGTCTTGTAAAGTGTTAGTTAGAGCAGTTTGTGCAAATCTGATTGTGTGTTGGGTAATATTAACTGATCCTAAGTTAGTTTTCTCTAGAAACTAACCTTTGGATTAGTTAATATTCGGTTTTTTCTCAGTTCTTAGTGCATTCCTATATGGTAGTTCTTTTTGTTGAGATTTTATAAACCATAAATCTGTTTTTTCAGTGATTCTGTGAAAAATAATAATAATAATAAAACAGATTGTTTTTCTTCTAATATCATGGCTGGTCAAGCATTTTTTAACATACAGCCCTTTGATGAAAAATCTTATTTTGCAATTTGGAAACAAAAGATGAGAAGTATCCTTATAACTCAAAGATTGATAAAAGCCGTAGAACCTGATCAAGCAGTCGACCTTTCTTTTGAAGAAAGGCTTGAGCTGGATGAACTTGTGTCTTCGTGCATTATTTTAAACCTAGCTGACCATGTAATTAGGAAATTTGGCTCTTATGGCTCAGCTGAGGATTTGTAGGACAAATTAAATAATATGTATACTGAAACTTCTCTTCCAAATAGGATACATCTATTAGAGAAATTCTTTAGCTTCAAATTAGACCTTTCAAAGACAATAGATGAAAATCTAGATGTTTTTTCAAAGTTAATTCAAGATATAAAACTTACAGGGGATAAAAATATAGATGATTACAGCTCTATTGTCATGTTAAATGCAATCCCTAGTACATATTCAGATGTAAAATCAGCTATAAAGTATGGTAGGGATGTGATTACTCTTGATGTTGTTGTAAATAGTCTAAAAAGTAAAGAAATGGATTTGCAACTAAATAAAGCTAATAAACAGTCACATGGTGAGGTGATGCATGTTAGGGGTAGATTTCCCTATAGACCGAATAAAAATGGCTATTCTTCCAATAACAATAAGCAATGGAATGAATAATTCCTACAATAGTCAACATAAGAAGAAGTCTAGAAGTAAATCTAGAAATAGATCTCAAACCCCTTCAAAGTATATCAAACATTGTTTTAATTATGGTGACCATTCACATTTCATTAGGAATTGTCCTAAGAAGTATAGAAACTTGAATAACAATAATAACAACTTTAGAAATGGAACAACCCCTATTAATACTTTTCCAAATGAACAAGTAAACTTGATTTCTCATGATGATTGCTTAGGTGAAGTGTTTGTTGTTACTGCTGAGTGTTATAATGTAACTGCTTTTAATAAGTATGAATGGTTATTAGATTTAGCATGCACCTATCACATGACTCCTTTTAAACAAATTTTCAGTGATTACAAAACCCTTTCAAACTGCAATGTGATTATGGCTGACAATAGGGTTTGCAGTGTTAAAGGAATAGAGACTGTTATTCTGAAATTTAAATAGGAAATGTTTTAAAGTTGTGCAATGTGAGACATGTTCCTAATCTGTCAAATAACTTGCTATCTTCTGCTGGTTTGTCTTCCTTAGGACTAGAAGGGTTCCTTAGTAGTATTCAAAGCTGATTTGAGAAATAACATCTATATTGTGACTGTTGTGCCTGTTTGTGAATATGATGCATATGTGAATGCTGTCCAAGACAGCACTGAGTTGTGACATAGGAGATTAGGTCATTTAAGTAATAGATTATTAGAGTCATAAATCTGGATGTTTTGGTTCTGGAAATTTTTCAAATGTGTCATTTTGTGATAATTGCATCTATGGAAAGCATCATAGAGTTATTTTTCCTCAAAAACCCACTGAAAGCAGGATTTTTTCAAAAGATATCCTTGAATATCTTCACTCAGATGTGTGGGGACCTTCTAGTGAACCCACACATGGTGGTAGAAGATATATTTTTACTATAATTGATGATTTTTTAAGAAAAGTATGGGTATTTTTAATGAAACAGAAGTCTGATGTTTTTGAAATTTTTAAAAACTGGAAAATTTCTATTGAAAATCAAACGGGTAAAAAGATTAAGTGTTTGAGAACTGACAATGGCTTAGAATATTGCAACACTTGGTTTGATAGCTTTTGCATTGAAAATGGAATAAAGCGACATAAAACAACCCCTTACACACCTCAACAAAATGGGGTGACTGAGCGGATGAACCGAACTCTATTAGAAAGAGTTCGAAGCTTGCTAGCTTCCTCGGGTTTATCCAAGCGCTTTTGGGGTGAGGCTGTAAATACAGCAGCTTATTTGATTAATAGATCTCCTTCAGTGCCTTTAAAGGGTTAATGTCCCGAATTTAGGTGGAGTAGAAAGAAAATTGATTTTTCAAACCTGAAAGTATTTGGTTGTTCTGCTTTTATACGTGTTTTCAATGATAAACTTGAACCTAGGGCTGAGAAATGTGTGTTCATAGGGTATCCCGAGGG